TTTGAATATGGAAAGACTGAATATGAAATATGTAATCAAGTTCCTAATTCATCTTGTGTCAGTTTTCATTTTTCTCTGTGATCTTAAACACTGTCTTTTTCCCAGCTGATACTTCACAACTTCTTTGCAGGATGTGCTGGCACATTTACTCCCTTTTATGSTTTTTCTGTGTCTTGTTTTTTTTATTCCTCCACGATCTTCTTCTGTATCTCCATTTTAACCACTTTGTGTTGCTTAGCAACACCCAGAATGACACCAACAAGGTAYGGTCCCAATGTTTCCAACAAGTCTCACCTTACAAGGAACAAAAATATAACTTAACATCACGTTCCTAGTGAATTTACTTCTTCAGAACAACACTGATCTCTTATTTATGTCTCATTAATTTGATATTTTCTATGACAGCTAAGAGCAAGTCAAACATGCAGAAACACACAATGTTTCATAGGATATTTGCATSTTCCAGTTTTGTTCTGTTTTGTTCTGACATTGTTAACCTGCTGAGATAACAAGAACATGAAAATAAGAGATAATGTTTTAGATCCTGGTTTTCCCAACATGCAGATCCAGAGATTCTGATGGGCATATAAATGCCCAAACTGCTACACTCAGTTACGAACCCGAACTTTATGAAGAGTTGGAGATGTGATTGTGAGACTGAAGCCTCTCCACAGATCTAATTAAACACCATGCAGATATTTCCAAAAAACATCTTTAATATCCCAAATTTTATACCAGACTGCTTTCTTCCTCAGCACAGTAGAACAGAAACACAACAAATGGGCTAAGCTACTTTTTTATTATTATAATTACAATTTACAATTGTTTTGGACAACTTATTTAATCAGAACTGTTATGAAGATGGGACAAGAAATACAGTAACTTTTCTGTCATGAGCYGTTATCAATTCCAAATCACAGAAGAGAATTTTTTTTCCCACAAAAAATCACATACAAAATCACGATGTGAAACACTCAATTGTACTTCTGATCTTCACTGAAATTTTCAACTTCTGAGGGGAAAAGGGAAACTGATTTTTTGTTTAAAAATAAGTTTTTAAAAATCAGTTATTGATTAAAAAGATTTTTTACACTTTGAAATCTGAATACATTTGGGATTTGATATTTACATGTTTTCCCAGAATCATTACAAATGTTTTTTGCAAAGTCAAGGCCTCTCCCTGAAATATATTGAAAAAAAATACATTTATTCAGTAAAATTCCTTGAAAAATAACTGACATTTTCATACCAGCTTCAGAAAAAAGCTAAATTTCAAACTGGCAAGACCCTACATTGAGAAATCCTGGCTTTGGATTTATAAACTATGGGTATAAAAATCAAAGAGGAATGAGAACATCATACCTACCCCTACATTTATATATATATATATCTTCAAAATAAATCCTTTGATCTCCAGTCATACAAGACTTCAATTAACTATTTGATTTCACCGGGCTTTTGTTCAGCCCCTGGGATCATGTAACGTCAGCCCTGGAGAYACTTTTATCCAGCAAGCAAATGTCATGATGAATAATACTTATTCAGCCAACTACAGCTTTTAATTAGGTTTTTTTAGGGTCTGGTTCAGTAGCCCTTACTCACATTGAGTAACATTCACTGCACAAATAATCCTGCTGTTGCAGTCACATTAATCATCAAAAGCACTGGTGAACTAAGCCCTGAATAAGCAACAGCTCTTACATTTAATCTAGTAAGGCAATTTTGCCCCAAATATCCACACAMCTCCTGACATAAAGAAATGCTTGATTACGGACAACCTATTGAGCAACAGTGTGCTTACGTAATATATAACTGTTATTATACTGTACCATATTTTTCAATTTTTGTTATTGGAATCAACGTGGCACTAAGTAACAGCAAAACTGTGTCCATGCTAAAACTACATATTCCTCTGTATACTTCTGCTTCTAACACATCTATGAAACATAGCTAAGAAAATAGATGAGAGATTAAATTCTGAGGTCTGAATATACAGAAAAAATTATACCAGTCTAACACTAGCAGACCAGCCTAGTACCTTCTAATGCTGAATCTCGAGAGTGTTCCTGGTTCCTGGAATGAAAACAAAAATCTGTAATAGAGTCAAATTACTTTTTAATAAAATATCAAGAAACTACCTCTGTTTCTAGGTATCCCTTGCTTTCCAACAAATATTCTACATAAATAAAGTCAGGATAACTTACCAGAAAACATGATCCAAAAAACAGTGAAGGAAAACCAGTACTACTTCCTCAGTATTGTTTCTCATCATCCCTTTTCTCAATTCTGCTTTAACTTTCTGTTCTACACAGTGAGTCCTCATATATAGATAGATATATACAAATATATGCCCTCCCTGAGTACATAAATAATTATATATGGTGAGTAATCTGCTCTCACACTGACCCTGCTACCAGCTATTTAAAAGTAAATCCAAATGAATAAAAATGGCTTAGAATAAACTCCAACTAAGAGACAATAAAGCTCTACTRCCAGTGAAGAAGAAAATAAATAGACATTTCAGTGGCTAAACTTGGAATCTTAAACTAGCTAGTGTACAGATGTATTGTTTCACATTGCCCTGGGCTTGCCTCCTCCGGGTTGCATTCAGATGAAATTCCCATGGATGAAGGCAAAAGTAACTCAAAATTAGAGTTTACTCAGAGTCATGCTAGCAGCCACAGCTACAGGAGCAGAGTTATTGATGTTAGATGTGACAGTGACTGAAGAAAGCTCACAGTTTGCATAGTGCATTTCCACTCTCTGTTCTTTACAGGAGCAGCCCTGCTGCTGCCTCACTGAAACCCGAGGGTTCAGGGAATTATATCCAGGCTAAAGCCCGTCCAGCAGGTAATCCCTGTGTCCCCTGCTGTGCCTTAAACTGCTCTTTAAGGCACAGAAACACGGACCAGCCTCTCTCTGCCAAAGGAACGTGCTTATGCCCAGGGTTACTGTGACCCAGGGAAACACCTTCCCTAACCCACCAGGGCTCTTTGCACACTGTGTCTGAGATCAGTACTCCCTGGAAACATCGCAGTTTTTTTTTTTATTCTAGACAAGATCTGCCTTTGGAGTTTGTTTGCTTGTTCAATGTCATCCCTGTGYTCTAAACATTCGTGTCTTAGAAGATTTTTAATAATAGCTCCAGTTACAAGTGTATTTATAAAATAACTAYGAGAAAATCCTTCTCTTGTATCATGTTTAAATGAAGCAGCAAAACATTCTGAGTGTGACACTATCTATTCACMAAGTTTGTATTCAAGTTGATATTGATAGAAGTCAGAAAAACACAAACCATTTTGTACTAGTTTTGGTGTACCACTTGCTAAGTGTCTGCAAGAACTACAAATAATAAGCCTCTAATAGCTGAAGCTGCCTGTTTCAGACAGTAACATCATTCCCCTGTTTATGCTGATGCAATTCAGAAAAAAAAACCCCAATAGCACATCACTGGTGAAACAAGGATAAGCAAAAAAAAAGAGATTCCTCCCTTGAGTTTAAGCACAGGCTGCCTGGATCACAGTGAGGATTATATATGATGAACTAACAAAGCCAGAAAAACTTCCAKTAAAAATTGTTAACTCTCTTCCTTATTCAAAAGATGAAATTAYTCCCTAGCATGGCAACTTTCTGAGGTCTATTCCATATGTAGAAAATTTCTCCTCCGAGAAGGTGTTGCATTACCTTCATGTTTTCCTGCCTTTCAGTATGAAGAGGCGCCTCTGTCACACAGGACATGAGAGACAAAGAATTGTTCTCCAGCATGTCAAACACAAGAGTTGCAAAAGGTGGAAATGACACTGTTTCACACATCAAGGAAAGAAAACAGGGGCTCTCTAAACGAGGCATACAGGGGCAGGTGCCCTTTGGATCAACAGGTCAAGAGACAGTGACTGGATCCTCTGTTTTCKGAAAACAATGCAGCTGCAATGTTTATTCAAGTGACAACCACAACAATAGGATTAACAGGAGAAAYGGTGTAGAAGCAGCCCAGTAACATGGAACATTTTAAAATCTTGATTTATTTTTGCTGTTTGTCAATCTTTCTCTCTCTGCCTTTTTTCAGACAGCATACACACAGAGCATGCATTTCTTTTATTTTGTTCTCAATTAAAAATATAGTAATCCTAAGAATTTAATCCTTCCAGACTTTTCATCCAGTCATTTCCACCATATATTACAAATACACCAAATTAGCCCCAAGCGAATTCATGTGTTCCTAGCAAATTAAATACATTGTTGTTGACAGAAGAATGAGAATTCCTATTGCAAATATTTGTCACTCAGCTCATATTTTGGTTTTAGAAACTTCAGCTGGACTAATCATGTCTAAGGCAAATAAAACAAGTTATTATAAGGCTAAACAGTTGGAAGTATACAACAAATGGTATTTCAGGCTACACAACTGTCTGCTCAAATAAGAGAGAAGAAAACATTCTTCTTTGCATGCTTGCACAGCAGCAGCTGGAATCTAGTTCTGGACTGGCAGCTCCTRCCTTCTCACCCCACAGACTTGCTGTGAGCAACCCTGCAGACTGGTAGATGAAAAAGAGGTACAGTATTACTGTGTCTCCAACAAATACACTGCATCTAAGCTGGTTTTGAGGAATGAACTTTGTGGAAGTCAGAGACTTGCCCCACACTGTTTAGCATAATTCAGCGTGGGCCTTATCTCCCAGGACTGAAGCCACCCGACCTCAAACTGAGGAGAAAGCCATAGTCTGTGGAGCTGTGCAGATWAAATTGCCTTGGGAGGATCTTTGGCACAGCCACGCTCCCCACCCCACCCAACACTGGTGTAGGCATACAGCYCCACATCTGCCGAACAGACAGGGCAAACACCAGCCAGAAAGGATTTGGGATTCTCCTTGTGCTACCACCAGCCCCGGTAACACCATTTCACGGGGAAAGGAGCTTCGTGGCAGGTCCGCAGACAGGAAGGCCAGCCAAACCCTCTGTTCCACCCTGGAGGAAACAGACCAACAAAAGGCTACAGTGGCTCCAGAAAGAAAACCTCTGTATTARAAGCCAAATAATGCGCAGCTACAATAATAAATACACACTATCTCAACCAGGAAATACAGTGTTAAAGGTTCATTAAAGTTCAGCTTCAGCAATAACAACATATATACCACTTCAGTTCTCCATTCTGTCTAAGACAGACATCCCTTTCTGTTCATAAGGGAGAAACCCGTTCAAACTACATCCTATACAAAAACGCTACTCCGACAACAAATGCAGCCAAATAGGAGGGTCTTTGATTTCCTCCGTTAAATTTTTAGGGGGGCTTATTCTTGCCTGGTTTTTTTCGTGGTGTTTTTGTTTGTTTTTGTTTTGTTTTGGTTTTTTTTTTACTAAAAGGTTCATTTAAAACGGGTATTAAAGATATAAAACGCGCACATATGATATGGTCCCCGCGGGGCCACTGCCCTCGGGGCCGGGCCGGGCGCTGAGGCGGCCCCACGTCCCGCCGCGCACCTGTGGCACGCTGCAAACRAGAAAAACACGACAGAGTCCGTCCCGCGTCCCTCCACAGCACAAGACGAAGAGAAGGGGGGTCACCGGGAGAGGCTACTTGGCGGCGGCGGTGGTGGCGGTGCCGGCGGCGGTGCCGCGGCGCTGCTCCATGCCGTTGGGCAGGAATCCGGCGATGATGGGCACGGGCCAGATGAGGGCGGCCACGCTCCACACGATGATGACCAGAGTCATGAAACACGCCACCAAGGTGGACTCGATGGGCTTGCGGTTCATCCGCCAGCCCGGCTCGCCCTTCAGCTCCTCCAGGCTGAAATCCAGGCAGCAAAAATTGAGCGGCTCCCCTTGCAGCCAGTACTGGCCGGGCTCTGCCGCCGGCGGGTAGGAAAGCGAGGAGGAGGAGGAGGCGGCGGCCGCGGCGGCAGCGGCGGCAGGGGGTTGGGGTTGGGGTTGGGGCTGCGGCTGGGGCTGGGGAGCAGCGCCCCGCAAGCGCCCGACCCGCCTGCCCCGCACCCAGCTGCAGCCCACGCAGAGGCGCAAGTCCTGCTGGGCACCGCCGGCCGCCARCCCCAGGTGCTCGATGAGCAGCGGCGGCCCCACGCGGTGGAAGGCGGCGGAGAAGAAGGCCCGCCCGTGGCTGTTGGTGGAGAAGAGCAGGAGGTCGCACTGGATGCCCAGCGGGCGGCTCCAGCGCACCAGCAGCGAGCTCAGCATCTGCCGCTGCACGCTGATGTTGCAGTGCGGGTCCTCGGCGGGCTGCGGCTGCCCCTGCGGCTGGGGAGGCTGCTGCTGCTGCTCCTGCTGCTGCTGCCCCTGCTGCTGCTCCTGCTGCCCGGAGGTGGTGGGAGCGGAAGGAAAAGGCTCTTGGCTAGGGGCAGCCGGCGTGCCCGGGCTGTCGGTGCTGCCTTCCTCCTTGCTCGCTGCCCCGTCGAGGTCCATCTCGAGGCTGGCCAAGGAGCGGGAGGAGGAGTTGGCAGGGGGCAAGAAGAGCTCCTGCTCCTGCTCCTCCTGCCCGCTGGCAGCCGCCGAGGGGCTCCAGCCCTGGCAGGACGGCAGGCAGGCGGCCAGCAGCGCCGGGAAGAGCAGCGGCAGCATGGCATTAACTTAGAGCCGGAGAGGAGGGAGAGGAGGAGGAGGAACGGGAGGCTGCATGGCGCTGCCGGCTGCCATCTGGGAAAGGAGGCACAATGCTCTCGCCGAGCGAGCGAGAGAAAGGGAAGGAGGGTGGAGGCAGGCGAGGGGGTGGGAGCGGGGCTGTGGCTGCCGCGGCGACGAGCCGAGCGAGCCGGGAGCTTCGGTGACGGCAGCGGCTCCCCCCTTCCCCGCCTCCTCCGCCCCCGGCCCGGCCCGGCCCGGCAGCGCCCCGGCGGGAGGAGCCGTGCGGAGCTGGCCCGGGGCAGCCGCGCTCYCTGGGCCGCCAGCGCTCCCCCCACGGGGCGCAGCCGGCAGTGGCCGCCGCTGTCCCCTCAGGCGGGGACCCTCTGCCCACAGGGACCCCTCTCCCGCGCCGCCACCGCGCCGGTCCCCCTTGGCCGTGTCTGAGGGGAAAGCCGCGGCGACCGGCTCCACCGCCGCCGCCTCACCCGCGGGGACTGCTCCTCGGTGGGCGAGGGCGAGCAAAAGGGGCTGGCAGCGGGCAGAGCCCTCGGTGGGCAAGGGCGAGCAAAAGGGGCTGGCAGCGGGCAGAGCCCTCCCGCCGCTGCACCGGGCCGGGGCGGGGGACGCGGATGCGGGAATGGCATCCAGGAACCGACTGCATG